TGAGTGGGCATCACCACGTCTTTCGCCTCCTTCAGTGTCCCTACCATGTCTGTGGCTTAAATGTGGGGGACTTCCATAATGTCTTCCTCACTTGGGAGGGGTCCCCAAACTATTTTAGAACCAGATTGAAAAGTATTTTATGTTGAATATTTAATCGTAGTTGATCTAGACTACACCAGACTTCTACATAACCGGGGACTCCTGTCTCTTATGTAGAGGTCAGGCCACGTTATTATACAGCAATGAGAAGGAAAATTCAAATAGTTTCCGCACAAAAAAGGATCCATAGAAAGTAGTCAAAGACAGGAAACGTGTAACACCCTGAGAGACAAGGCAGTCCCATCCAGTTCTGCGTCTCCGTACTTCTGTCGCTGTACTCTGACAGCGCTCATGTGAGTACTGTACCCACTTCACCTTCACACAGCCGAGAGATGGGCAAGGTGCGGTTCATTCGGTGAACTTCTGAGAAGGAATGAATGGCTTTCCAGGGTCGATAGCCTATTTGTTCGTAGCAGTGGAGGCTTACTACCACATTCACACTGCAAAGTGACTGACCAGTATGTTCCTGGATGGGAGTCTGTACTTTATATCTGATTCACGTGTCAGAGCTCAGATTCCCTTTCAAAGGATACAACTGACTAAATATGTCAGCCTTCACATGCTGCTCCTGTCTTGGAAGAAGTACGGTCAGCGTTCTCCTTCGACGCAAGGTTGGCAAGACTTCATCTCATATGCTTTGGACATGTTGTCAGGAGAGACCAGTCCCTGGAGAAGGACATTAACCTTGGTAAAGTGGAGGGGCAGTGATGGATGGACCCAGAGGCTGCAACAATGGGCTCTGGTACAGGAGCAATGGTGGGGGGCGGGCAGGACTGTGCAGTGCTTTGTTCGGTTGTGCATTGGGTCGCTGTGGGTCGGAGCTGACTCTGTGGCAACCTGACAACAGCAATCACAACACGGTAGGCCAATCGGCTTGCTGTTCTTCTCATCTTGGGGTCACTGATAAACCCTTCCCTGAAAGCTTACCAATGCGCCACATCTCAAAGGGGAGGCTAGGCTCCACACCCACCGATGACAGGGAGTTCCTGGGGCCTGATCTCGATTTCCCAACATGCGTATTACCTGATTTTTCTTAGTTAATGGATTCCTTTATTCGAGCAATGTGTGTAATTCCTCCAAGGGCCGCTAGGCTGCTCCTTAGGAATGCCCTGCTGCACTGTGAGCTTCCTTGAGACCCTCGTTAACCAGAGGCTCGAAGGGCAAAAAGCCCGGGGCAAACCACTGCTTCTGATAGAAGTAACTTGTAAATAAAGTAAGAAATAAGGGTTTTCCATGCCTCTGTGACTTCCTTCAACAAAAGGGGACTGATCCTGGTCCAGGCCCAACACTGACTGGAGAAGCCCCCTGGGGCTGGGCTTAGAGGGAAGCCCACCCATAGCATGCAGTTTCCATGAACCAGAGGCAAACAGGGACCTCCATTGAGAAGATCCAAAGATAATGAGAAACTGAATTCTGCTCACTCCACACTGACTGTACATAGGACTGTGTGTTCGGTAATGGAGCATTATGGAGCCCTGCTGGTGCCGCGGGCAGGGGAAACTCAGCAACAGCTTTGAGGGAGGAAGCTAAGGATGTCTGACTCTCGGGAGCATTGGTGATGCTGAGATAAGCATAAGGTTGGTGGTTCAAAGCCACCAGCCACTCCTGAGGAGAAAGCGGCTGATTGCTTCTGTAAGTTTTACAGTCTCAGAATCCCTAAGTAAAAGATCTCTGTCCTGTGGGGTCACCGTGAGTCAGTCAACTCAATGGCAATGGGCAATAATTGGTAAAAAACCAAACTCACCGCCATGGAGTCCGTTCTGACTCATGGTGACCCCGTGGGACACAGAATGGCCCTTGTGGGTTCCTGATGCTGGAAATCTTCACAGGAACAGCAGGTGGCACCTCTCACCCACAGGGTGCCTGGTAGGTTTGACATGCTGATCGATGCCTTATCACCTGGGCCAAGCTGGGGGCATACTTTGATAAGTACTTGAAAAAAGGTATAGTCCCTTAGTTGCACTCGGAGGAGCCCTGTTGGTGCAGGGCTTACACAATGGGCACCATCCATTAACCACAAGGTCGGCAGTGCCACTGGGCGGACGATGAAACGTTCTACTCCTGGAAAGAGTTAGAGTCTCAGAAACCCACAGGGCAGTTCTGCTCTGTGCTACGGGGCTGCTATGAGTCAGAATCAACTTGATGGCAGTGCGGGGAGAGTTGTATTTTAAGAATGGGAGTCACTTTGCTATGCTAATGGGGAGGTGCCGCTGTCCCTCGTTGGAAGTGCTGACTTGCTTGACTTCAGATGGGGAGTGGCTCGAGGAACCAGAGGGAGAGAGCAAGAGGCTGGGCGGAGAGAGAGAGGGCTGTGGAGACAAGTGAGTGAAGATCCAGAGAGACTCACCGGCTTGTGAAGAAAGAGGAGGGAGGAGAGCAGATAGTGAGGAGTTGAGGGTGGAAAGGCCGTGTGCAGTGAGAGGTGAACATCTAGGTGGGCTGTCTGAGGTAGACCTTGAAAAGAAACTGAACTTTTGGCTGCTATCTGATGTGAAGGTAGCTAGACCGAGTTTGGCTAGTCTGGGGAGGGTATGTTTGGGTGATCTGAAGTTACATGCAGTTTTTATGGTAGACACAACATGCCTTTTGGGGAGGCCTCAAACAACAACTGAACCTGGCCCATGTGACTGCATAGGAAGGAGAGATGTGCCTGAAACATGAAGATGCTGGGGGGGCGAAGGGTAGCTCCACACTCACAAGGGCACAGCCTCCCTACTGCTCCCTGGTGTTATGTAGGTGCTGTTATCCAGGTGGGAGGCTCCCAGAGCTGCCTCAGGGTGGATGGATGGGTAGTGCAGGGCAGTGGAGGTGGGTGAGCTGGTCTTTGGTGAAATCCACGTGGTCTCTGAACACGATGTTGGGATTCCTCCTGGAGATACAGGCATGCATGGTGTCTTGCTGCCAGGTTGGCGTGCAGACAAAAGTGGAGCCTGTTGGTGGTGATGGCCAACATCTGGGCCACAAATGGCTTAAGGGAGATGAACTCTGCCAAGCAGGTGGGAGCGCCAGCCAAGGCGTCAAAACCCCTGTCTCAGCGATAGTCCCGCTGGTGTAGTCTCAGTGAAGCCACGCGGGGTTTTGACGGTGATTCAAGGGCAGGGAAGAGCTTGGTTTGCACAGATCTCAGACAGCTCCACCCCTTGTGAACTGTTGACCTTGGACAAGTCGTTAACATCTGTAAGCTATGGTTCCATTTTACTTAAAATAGAGTAATACTCATGGCCACCCCCTAGTGTTACAGCGAGGACTGCGTGAGTTACTCCTTCACACATGTTCACGACCGTGGTGACAATGCTACTACAAGACCATTGGACAATCGATGCACACAATTAGCACCACTCAAGGTTTGCTTTTTAAAAAGCTCCCATGTTAGCTTCCTGTTCTCTTTTTGCTTCTTTCTGTCACTGCCCTGTTATCTACCAGGGTGGCATTCTCCTAAATGGTGGGGCAAGCAGAGGTTTTAACACCCTTACATTCTGTGGGCGTTCATACCAAGGAACACGACCCAGCTACTATCAAAATGGATGGACTAGTCGTACAGGCAAACACACACACACATTTTAATGTGGGTTTTGATTAATTTTTTTTATCCGTCACACTCACTGCCATCGTGTTGATACCGACTCACAGTGACCCTACAGGACAGGGTAGGCCTGCCCCTGGGGGCTCCCTAGACTATAACTCTACCCGGGAACACAAAGCCCCATCTTTCTCCTGGGGAGTGGCTGGCAGTTTCAAATCGCTGACCTTGCAGTTAGCAGCCCAGTACATGCCCACCACGCCAAGCTTTATCCAGAGCGGTGTACTAATTCGTGCAGTTTTACACTGATCATGTACTACTGGGGTCTGCAAAGGTAGGTCTCTAGAAGGAGCCCTGGTGGCCCAGGAGGTTCATTGCTGGGCTGATAACTAAGAGGTCTGCAGTGCAAGCCCATCAGCCGCTCCGTAAGAGAACTATGAGGCGGTGTGCTCCCGTCAGATGGGCGGTCTCAGAAATCCTGTCTAGGGTCGCAGTGAGTTAGAAGCAACTCCATAGCCGGGGGCTGGGTTTGGGGGCTGGGGGTGCACAGAGTTAGGGGATCATAATATACCCTGGTGGTTTCGGAGTCACCAGAAGCCGATCTCCTATTAGAGAGCAGTAGGGTGCACAAAGGGGCAGCCTGCGTCTGTGTACGAGGCAGCTACGTGGGAAGCTGTGGAAGCAGACAGGGCCCGACCCTGCATTCGGAGCTGTCTCCTCACACTTCCTCTGCCACAGTGTTTGAACTTTTAAAATTCCCCGCTCACTAGTCCGAAGTGCCTTGATCAGGGGTTCCCTCCCCACCCCAACCCGCCAACCGCCCAGAATGTTTCCTTTTTACATAAACCCTTTGCTGGGGGCCCTGGAGGGCTTCCTGGGAGGACAGGCTCCGAGTGACCAGGTGGCTGCGCTTTCTGCCGCTGGCCTCTTGCAGCACCCACTCAAAACAGTGTGAGGGTGGAGGGCAAAACCTCCGTCCTGGCCTCTTGGCTTTTGTGGGTTTTGGTCAGACCCCGAGTGTTATTTTAGTGCAACTTCAGTGTTTAATTTGGGGCTGTGTGTGTATAGATCAGAAGCAGGGACCGAAACGTTTTGCCTTTTTAACTCTGACCAAATGATTAAATTCGAAGGTCTAAAAAAAAAAAATGCACCACCTGGCCTAGAGCTGTGTTTAATTGGCAAGTGGAAATCCCTCCCCTGCCAGGACCATCCTTCCATAACCACTGGCTACCCCCCGCCCCGGTCCCGTTTGCTGTGGGTACCACCTGGGCACTGTGTGGTCACGGAGTGGCCAGAGCCCAGAGGCGCTCCTCTGTCTTGGAGGGTGCACGCTGTCCCTTTGCTGGAAGAACACTCGACAGGTTCGCTTCCTTTCTTACAGCTTGGAGAGAGCCGTAACTAGCGAGCCATGGTTGAGGGGGAGGTGACCGCCGTCTCCTCCCTGTCTGAGACGTTCAACCTGGCCCCCATGGACTACCAGCAGCCCAGACTCCTCTACTGCAGCAACGGGGGCTACTTCCTGAGGCTCCATCCGGATGGCACAGTGGACGGCACCAGGGACAAGAGCGACGAACACAGTAAGCGCCCTCTCCTGAGCCCCTGGCCTTTCTGCGGTCTCCCAGAGCGGAGGGCAGCAGAAGCACTAAGTCCTGCCGCCCCCTGTCTGCAATTCTGTCTCTTCTGGCCGGGAGTGGGTAGCAGCCAGGGGCTCCCATGGTTATATACAAAGGGGGTCAATGGAAAATAGGGAGGGCTAGAGCTTGTGGCCTCTCTGAAGGCGATCTGTTTCGGGCTTTTAGTGGGAGGCTCTGCAGTTCCAACAAGACGGCCCTGAGATCCGGTAGGGCTGCCTGCGCAGGGTCCCTGGTTTCTGTACTGCGTGGAAAGTCTGGCCCCCAAGGCTGGCCAGGGCCCTGCTGGCCCCTTAACGGGGAATGCCAGCTGGGGGCGGGGTAGGCAATCCTGCACAAAGACGGGGCTCCGTTCAAGTTCGCTGACTCTCCACGCTAGGTTGTCACCAGGCTTGATGTGTGAAACCCTAGTTCACCGTCGTAGTCTCCCACGTTATAAATTAGGCAGCCTTCATTCTGCACATCGTGCAGATGTGGTTATGGTAACCAGGAGGGGCAAAGTGCTTCTCCAGACTGTGAACGAGGGAGCCCTGTGAGCCAAATGCCGAGCCTCTCTCTCCCAGGCCTTGTGCGAGGCCAGCTCCCAGATGAGGTTGAGATGTGCAGGGAGGGCTCTGCCTGACTGCCTAAGTCGACAGCCCACTTCCTCCTGCGTGTTTGCCCTCAGCATCTGAGAGGCCCTGAGCGCCGAGAAGGTAGGACAGTAGAGCAGCCACGAGTCACATCTGCTGTTGCTCCGGGGTTGGCAAGCTAGGGAGTCCAACATCCTGCACATCAAGGGCAGGGGCGTGTGGTCGACAGCAGGCAGCACAGAATGTAATGGCCCGCAAGACTGACTTTAAAACGCAATGGGAACACTGGCTCCCGCTTCTGGTGGTTTACATACTGATTACCTAGAGTCTAGACCCACCAAACCCGCCGCCATCGATTCGCTTAAGCCCTCCGAGAGCGTCATCTGTCCCGGAGCAGGCCGCCTCTTCTTTCTTTCTGCAGGGCACCGTCTGCAGGGCTAATGGGATGTGCATCCAAAGGGGACAAGCGCGTACTGGTATTATCCACCCACAGGTGATGGGGGTGGAAGTTGGCCTAAGGACAGACCTGGAGGCACTGCCCTCTGCTGGAAGGCTGAAGCCTGGGTTTGTAGCTGCAGGAGGAAATTCTCGGCATTTGTTTTGTTTGTTTTGCTTTTTCTTTTTTTTTAAAGTCATTTTATTGGGGGCTCATACAACTCTTATCACAATCCATACAGACATCCATTGTGTCCAGCACGTTTGTATATTTGTTGCCCTCATCATTCTCAAAACATCTGTTTTCTACTTGAGCCCTTAGTATCAGCTCATTTTCCCCCCTCCCTCCCCGCCCGCACCCATGAACCCTTGATAATTTATAAATTATTATTATTTTGTCAT